CAATAATTGACCTCGCCTTTCAAGTCATTCCACCAGCTCTCTCGTAATATTAAAAGCATGAGGCCCGTGTTCCCTCACTGCTGCAAGGCAAAGATCGCCCACTGCGCATCTTCTCTGAAACTGCTTCCCCTGGGTTGCCAGTCTTGCTTCACAAAGAACATCTTAATAATTCGTGCTACAGCTGTCATGTAGGCCTGGAGTGAAGACTATTGTTAGGATGGGTGCAGTCTGGGGCAGACGGAAAGAAAGAAGGTTGGCAACAGGCGGTGCTTCATCCTAGCACTGGAGCCCTGCTGAAATCCTTTCTTCTGTACCAGCTATTAGGTCCAATAAAGGTAAAGGTTCCCTTGCTCGAAAGCCAGTCGAGTCCGACTCTAGGGTTGCGGTGCTCATCTCCGTTTCAAAGCCGAAGAGCCAGCGCTGTCCGAAGACGTTTCCGTGGTCATGTGGCCGGCATGACTAAACACCAAGGCGCACGGAACGCTGTTACCTTCCCACCAAAGTGGTACCTATTTATCTACTTGCAATTTCTTGCTTTCGAACTGCTAGGTTGGCAGGAGCTGGAACTAGAGACGGGAGCTCACTCCGTCATGCCACCGCAGCTCCCTATTAGGTCCAATATTGCAGCCTAAAATAAAATAATAATTTCTATGCCAAGAAAACCACACTCCAGGGATCCCCAAAATGGTGCCTGTGGTTGCCCACCAACACATTTCCTGGCTCCCGTGAAGTGGGTTTTTTTTTAAATTGGGTGGGGCTTTTGCCCAGCAAGGCTTCTAATTGGCCACCTGGAGATAGAATGGTTGTGCAGATTTTTGAAAGCACTGCTTTGGCGGCAGCTGCCACCAGAGCACAAGAACCTTTACTGTGGTAAGCTGCAGCTTCAATTTTGTGGCTTGCTTTGCTTCCTCTGGCAGCCATGTTGCGGCTCTGCCCCCCCATGCTGTATAAGAATTCCAAAGTTGCCCACCGGCTCAAAAAGGTTGGGGACTCCGTATTCCATAAAGCCTAGTTCTCACCATAAGGCTCTGTCAAGAGCTCATCTGACTGAATACTCCTCCATTAAAAAAAAACAAAAAACAAAACCAAACCTGCATATGGAACAGTTAGAACCAAACCAGAGGAGACACTTGAGGGTCCATGGTTGGAACACCAGTGCAAGTTTCCTTCATAAAGAACGGCTGCAGGGGGTCCCAATTCAAAGCTGAATTATGTCATTGGGAGAGGAGGAAGGAAGCGAAGTTTTCCCAACCTCACCCCCGCAAGTTATTTGCCCTATTAGGAAAAGTTAAAAGTGTGTAGATTGGCGGTATATTTTCCCCAAGTGGGCAGATATCAGTTCTGGAGGGTTGTTCGAGATCAGCAAAACAGAATAAGGGAAACCAACTCCTTCCTCCTTGGTCCAGATTCCAATTGCGGCTTCCTAGAGTGGCTTTTGGCAAAGGAAAACAGACTGGAAATCCGATCATGGATCTTCCTGCATCCAACTTGGTTTGATCCTTCCGTGTCAAGAAGAGTTTTGGCCTAGCCTTTCCCCTGGCAAACTTGTCGTCTATGGGCAGAGAATATCTTTTTTCTTGCATGATGTAGCATTCAGTGAAGTATGATGTGATACAGCCCAAACACAAGTTTACTCCCTTGGTGAGGGCTAGGCCTAAAATTACATTCATTTGCATAGATTAATTTTGAATGATTCTGTTTCTGCCAGTCTTAGGAAGGTATAAAGGACTACACAATGTACTAAAAGCTCCAGCTCCTGCCCATTAGGAACCTTGTTTGTTCCAACCTTGAAATCAGTGCCAGAGAATCAATTCACCCATAATTTGATGGCTGGAACTTCAAACCAGGCTTCCTGGTAGGAGGGACGGTATGTTTTTCTCTCTCTCCCTTCACTCTTATCAGCTATCATACCCATCTCAAAACTATACAGCCCAACATGCTTCTAACATTCCCATGTATGGAGGATGATCCAGCCCACATGCAAGCACTGAGTTTCAGCGTGCACATATGTGCAAATGACCCAATTGTTAGGTTTCAGGCTCAGCAGCATATAGGACAGAAATCTATATGAAGCTGCCAAATACTGAATCAGACCCTTGATCTATCAAGATCAGTATTGTCTACTCTGACTGCTGACCTTTTTTTCCTGGAGATGCCAGGGCCTATTGAGCCACAGTTTCCTCCCCTCCCAGAGACTACATGTACTGAAGGGTATATGATATCCCACCCGCTCTCTGCTTTCCTTCCATCCTTTTTTTCAAGATAGGATTGCAAAACTTGGATGAAATGACAGCAAGGCTACCTACCCCAATCGTACAGTATCTCGCACTCCATGGAGTGGCAGGAGTCAATGCAATCATTACATCCAGGCCTGTGCTTTACAGGATGTGAGGTATTATGTGCAAAAAGGATCTAGGGGTCTTAGTAGACCATGCACTGAACATGAGTCAGCAGTGTGATGCAGTTGCTAAAAAGGCAAATACGATTTGGGGCTCTATCAACAGAAGTATAGATTAAAGGTAAAGGTTCCCTTGCTCGAAAGCCGGTCGAATCCGACTCTAGGGTTGCGGTGCTCATCTCCGTTTCAAAGCCAAAGAGCCAGCGCTGTCCGAAGACGTTTCCGTGGTCATGTGGCCGGCATGACTAAACACCAAGGCGCACGGAACGCTGTTACCTTCCCACCAAAGTGGTCCCTATTTATCTACTTGCAATTTCTTGCTTTTGAACTGCTAGGTTGGCAGGAGCTGGAACTAGAGACGGAGTTCGCTCCGTCTTGTGGCACCCGGGTCTCGAATTGCTGAACTACTGACCTTCCACAGCCTGCAGTTCAGCGTCTTAACCACTTGAGCCTCCGCAGCTCCTTAAGTATAGATTAGAGGTGTGCAAAAAAAAAAAAATTCGGCCCGGTTCGGTTTGCCCGAATCGGGTTGAATTTGAAATGACCCTGAATGCCACTCTCGGCAACTTAAGCCTATTTGGGGCTCATTCGGCCAGCCGAATCAGATTTGGCCAGGGGCACCCAGGCAAGCCAAGAGAAGGCTTTCCTACCTGATTCAGCCTATCAACAGGCACACTTTGAAGGCTTTCAAGCTGAATTAACCAACTTCATTCATACCCTGCTTTTTTCCCCAGTGGGGATACAAACTGGCTGACATCATTGTCCTCCATTTCATCCTCACGACTATCCTGCAAGGTAAGTTAGGCTGAGTGTGTGACTGGCCCAGAGAGCTTCCAGGGCAGAGCCAGGATTTGAAGCCCGATCTCCCAGGTCCTAGTCCGACACTCTAGTCACCACACCACACATCTTATTAAATGGAAATGCCAGGGATTGCACCTGGAACCTTCTAGACTTAGAGGCTTGCTTCATAAAGGAGTCCTCCTCAGGCTGTTGAAGGGAGAGAAGAGGGGCAGAAGAGAATTGGGTTCTGGGCCCAGTCAGGTATACCTATTAGGCTATGCCCTCACTTTCCCCTCAGAATGCTCCCCAATGGGTGTTCTTTTTCTTTCAGCCTAAGAATAGAGAGGAGGCAAAAATCACGCCTCCTGCTGGGCTCTGGGACTCTTTCATTCTGGGATATCAACCCCTGAACCTCATCCTCTGAACAGTTCACATTTCCAGTAGGCGAGTCAGGGATTCTTGACTCACCTCTCACACCCCAGAATAAATCACGTCAACAATATTTCAGAGGGTAGCTGTGTTGGTCTGCAGTAGAAGAGCTGGGTTCAAGTCCAGGAGTACCTCAGACACCAACAAGTGTTTTGGGACGTAAGTGTCAGGGTTCGATAGTCAGGTCACACAACACAGCGCTTCATCAGAAGAATTCTGTTTATTGGTACACCAGGACTATGACACGTGTACTGTTTGTGTCAGGAATGCCCAGGAACAGTAAGGCACCCTGAGTTATACTAGAATCAAACATCCCCCCCTCCCTTACAAGCAAAGCCAATAAGCAAAGTTCATGTGCGTGGGGAAAGAAAGCGGGCAAAAGTAAGAGCCGTTGGTTCCCAGCAGAAGCTCAGAGCAGCTGGTGCATCCCAAGGTCAAGGAAAAGATAATACGCAGACAGTGAAACTCAGAGGCAGGCAGAGTAAGGTGGTTTCCCCCTCCACACATTCCAAGAGCATAGCAGAACTACCTGACATCAAGCTTTTTGAGAATCAAAGCTCCCCAAAGCTTTGTCCCTCAAAAGCTGACGCACTGAAAATATCACGTGCGGCTAGACTCAAATCTAGCTCCTCCAATGCCAGCAATAGCAGCTTGTCTATCTTTGAGGCAGAGAAAGAAGTACTTTTCTCCCTTTCTCACAAGACAGGAACTCATGGGCACTCAGTGAGATTGCTGAGCAGTCCGGTTAGAACAGATAAAAGGACTTCTTCACCCAAAGAGTTAACACACTGAATTCACTGCCACAGGAGATGGTGGCAGCTACAAGCATGGATGGCTTCAAGAGGGGATTGGATAAGCATATGGAGCAGAGATCCATCACTGGCTATTAGCCACAAGGTATAGATAGGGGCAAGTGATGCTCTGTATTCTTGGCGCTTGGGGGGGGGCAACAGTGGGAGGGCTTCTAGTGTCCTGGCCCCACTGCTGGACCTCCTGATGGCACCTGGTATTTTTGGCCACTGTGTGACAGAGTGTTGGACAGGATGGGTCACTGGCCTGATCCAACATTGGCTTCTCTTATATTCTTATGAAACTCACCGTTCCACAGAGAAAGAACTGATTCCTGAACAACCAGTTAAGTCCCCTGGAATTTGTACTTGTGCACTCAGAACAGACTTCCCTGAATCTGATGAAATGGGATCTAGGACACAAAAACTGACGCTAGAATAAAAACTCGCTAGACTTTGGATGTGTCAAAAGACTCCCATTTATTTTCCCCTGAAATGATCGCTTCTGAATCCTGATTATACAAAACCCCAAGACAGGTTTGGTGCAGAGGTGCTGAAATGTCTCTGCATTTGCACAGAGCCAGGATCTGTGCTAGGAGACTGACAGCAGTCCTCCTCTTTTATTTTTAGTTCCTGCCTCAGGTAAAGTTACAAAATGTTCCATCCCAAACGGGCAGTCGTCGTTCAGGCGACGGAGACGTTAGATATCCAACGATGCCGGGTAATCCAAGCCGAGTGGAAAGAAGATGCGCTCCCCAAGTCAGACTGAGAGTTAAGTCAGGTTGCCGATGAAAAGCTGTCCAGCCGCCCAGACTGCCGGAGGGGGAGAGAGGCCCGCGTGGCGAAAACGTTAGGCCGGCCTGCTGAAATTCAGAGTTCCGAAAACAACGGCTGCTCCCGGGTGCTGCATCGACTGCCCAAAGGCAGGAGGGGACTTTGCGGAGAACTAAAAGAGGGAAACGGACCGTTCTCAAAGAAGAAGGGGATATGGCTGACCTTTCCGGTTGACCAGCACTAAGAGAAAGACAAAGAGAAAAAGGCCACGTTGGTCAAGGGTTACACTGCTCACCCCCACCCCTGCCCTTGCTGGTTCACTTCTATGAGCCCTCTCTGCCTGAGCCGACTTCTCAGGTTTCAGTGGCCATAACTCTACTGAACCCATCTTTGCCGCCTCAAGGCAATAACTCCCCAGTGGAAAAGAGTGTGTGCCAAAAGAAAATGACTACCGTTAAAAAAAAAAAAAAAATCAGTGCAACTGAATGCATTAAAGTTCCCAAAACCATGACGGAAGAAGTTGCCACAGTGTCTCTGTATGAATTACTGTCCTGTGAGTGCCACCTTCTGATAAGCTCTGGTAGTGGAAAGAGCCGTCAAGCCACAGCTGACTTATAGCAGCAGCCCTGTAGGGTTTTCAAGGCAAGAGACATTCAGAGGTGGTCTTTGCCTTTGCTGCCTCTGCGTCATAACGCTGGACTTCCTTGGAGGTCTCCCATCCAAAGACTAGCCAGAGCTGACCATGCTTAGCTTCTGAGATCTGACGAGACCGGGCTTGTCTTCGTTATCCAGATCAGGGTCAACGCTCTATCTAGGGGAGGATAATTCTGCTACAGTTTTGCATTCAGAGTGACTGAATGAACCAATCACACCCAACCAAAAGTGAGTGGCAGAATTTCCTCAGGAGGTTGCCTAGTACGTCTCTGTATGCTGCTTTGTGAGTACAGGACGCTAATGTGGGATCATTAGCATACAGAATAAAAAATATAGGGCAAGGACTCCTCTGACGGTGAACAATGTGTATTCTTATATGCTCCAGATGAACCCTCTTTCATTTATTTATTTATTGGATTTATACCCCGCTCTCTCCGCCGAGGCAGGCTCAGGGTGGCTTATATAAAAAATTTTAAAACAATTTAAAACCACATAAAATCTAAGGTTGCTATACATACATTCCTATATAACGGTGAATCATAACCCAATATTATCATGACAGGCATCAGTTAGTACAAACGTAGTTGGTGGAAAATATCCCAGGGAGGGTCCAATGTTATAACAAGATGTTAAATGTGGTCAAATGCCTGGTGGAAGAGCTCCGTCTTGCAGGCCCTACAGAATTGAAGTAGGTTCCGCGGGGCCCTGGTGTCCTCAGGGAGCTTGTTCCACCAGTGTGGAGCTGCTACAGAAAAGGCCCAAGCCCTGGTGGTGGCCAGTCTGGCCTCTTTAGGGCCAGAGAATGCTAGAAGATTTTGTGTTCCTGCTCTCTGGGGAACATGTGGGGGGAAAGTCCAGCAGGAACTCATCAGCATAATAGGCCACACCCAGCAGCAGCAACTCATTAGCATATTAGGCCACACTCCCTGACTGCACCACTCATTAGCATATTAGGCCGCACCCCCATGTTACCAGAAGTGTGGTCATCCAGCCACACCCACCTTTTGCTTCTTATTCTGTTTACCTTGTTTGTTGTCAAAACACAGGGCTTTTTTTGTAGCAGGAACTACTTTGCATGTTAGGCCACACACCCCTAATGTAGCCAGTCCTAATGAGTTCCTGCTGTTGGGTGTGGCCTATTATGCCAATGAGTTCCTGCTGGGTGTGGCCAACTTGGGAGCCAGCCGGAACTCCATTCCTGTGCGTTCCTCCCCAAAAATAGCCCTGCCCCTGACCATAAAGGGCTTTCTAGCTGTAAAGAGTGCAGTGTGCTTTTAGACTAATTCAGATAAAAAACATGGCTCATCTACCAGAAGTTTGAGAGAGTGCTTTGGGATTAGAAACTTAATTTAAAAAAAAAGAAAGATAAAACTTGAGATTCTCAGGTTGCTGATCAGTTCAGAGCAGAATCACAAACCATACACACAAACTAAACTACATCTGTGGCTAGAAGGCAACCTACCTGAGCAAATGACCAATCCGTCCTGGCCAGTTTTCCCCTCAACCTAAGATATGGCAAGTAGGGAGACCCCGACTGTGTGCAAAACCCATCCCTCAACTATTTCTAGTCTCGGCACCCCTGAACTAACAAGAGGAACTATGGTGACTACACAGCCAATGCTGGTCTCATGGTCATTCAGACGGGCCAGCGTGGGCCAAAGCCCTCCTCCCAGTTAAAGCACGACATGTCTTTTGAATGATCGGCTGCACTTAACCCGCATCACTGATCCACTTCCTACTAGGTTCGTGCCCCGTGAATTCTGTCCAGCTGCTGCTTAGACCGGCTAGCAACTGCTGCCTTTGGCACTCCCACAGGCCCCTCGAAATCCTCTGCAACTGCAAGGCTCCCTCTAAGCTGTGGAGTCTTGTGAGCAAAAATTCTACTTTGTGAACCACTGGCATTAAAACTGTAAGCGAGTGATTTGGCTGCTGCATAAATTAGTTCGCTCTGGAGCCATCCTAACTAAGCGAAGACAAAAATGTGTGAGCCAGAGGCTGAAAAACGGTGAGCTAGCTCACAGTAATGCAGCTTAGAGGGAATACTGGCTGGAGGCGACACTCACCACTGTCAGAACGGCTCCCTTCTTAAAGCGAGGGTGGAAAGCCACCAGCTGGGGCTGCGCGCCGACTTCACCCTGGACGAAACCGCTGGAAGGAGACGAGAGAATGGTATTCTTAGCGCAAGGGACACCTACAGGCTTTGGCAACTACGCTAGGGCTCACACGAGGCCGGGGCCCCATGAAAGCAGGCAGAGCCCCCCCCCCAGACCTCCTATAACGCTGCCCATTTTGCTGCCTCCTTTGCAGAGGCCAGGAAAGCTACACGGGGGCACCTCCCTCGCCTCTTTCCAAGCCACCCTCAAAACCCAGGGAACCCTCCCCACGGAAATGAAGCCACTGTGTATTTGCTCACATCCGTCCTCTGTTTCTCTCACGTCTCCCTCCAGCTACTTCAGATTATTTTCAGCTCACTTTTGGGCTCCACAATCAAACACTAGTTTAAAATAGGCCACAAATCAGTTGATAAAGCTGATGCAAATAACCCGGCCGAGATCAGAATCAGGGCAAAGAAACCAGAGCAACAGTGCCACTGATACATTTCAGGATCCGCGTGGCCCCAATGCCCTCTGAAGCAAAAAACAACAAAGGAGGCAGCAGAAGGAACCTCATGGGGGAGACAACCCCACATCGCTTATGCTACTAGCGCCGCCGCCACCAAGGCGGCCCAGTCCTATAGTGCGACCTGCTGGGCCTCTGACTGAGGGAGAACAAAAGGCAGGACCTTTCCTGCCGACCAAACCATCCACGTAGATTCGTAAGGGAGAAAGTGGTCTCCTTCAGGTCTCCAGTCCCAGACCATTCAGGGCTTTAAAGGCCGGAAGAAGGACTTGGCAGCGGGCCCAGAACCCCACTGGGAGCAAGTCCTGTCCCTAACGCCATAGGAATTCAGATCCATTTATTTCTTAGATTCCACTTCCCTTACCATTCAGTGCCCTCATGGAACTGCTCAGAATGTTTTGCTCTGTAAGCACTGACTGCATAATACACCCATCTCCCTTGAAGGCCTTCAAAACATTAAACAGCTGGCAGATGGTGAGCCGCAGGGAGGGCGCAAGGAAGTGAACGGACAATACAGGGGCATGGGGTCTCAGATACCACAGGAGCCAGGTTTTGAGGAGAGCAGGCCTGCTGCCTGCTCCCAACAGCAGCATCCTGTTGTACGTAAGTGCAGGAGAACACACACGCATTCTTCTCATGCGGCAGCAAAAGCCGGGGGGGTATGCAGAACTTCCTACACAAAAGTAGTATCCATACAGCACGGGCATGAAGCAGCCCTGAGCAAGTCAGTGTTTCCCCCCAAATACTTAGTGGGCCGCTTCTCCCCATAGCAGGCCATATGAAAGCTTCATTCAGCCAAACAGTTCCTCTGACAGGTGCCCCCATCACAGCGGGCTTTGCTTGTCAGCAATGCATTCAAGAGTCTGTAGCATCGCTGTCCCCACCTGGTGGCTCTCTGAATGGTTCTGTCTTTGTCAACCTTCTGAAAGGTCATCCTTGCTAAAGAGGGGTGTTTGGCCAATGGTGGTTTCAGTGACTGAACAGGTACAAGGCTACTTTCTGAATGTTCTGTATTTTCCTCCCCTTTGACAACTGGGTGCCCTTGGATAACGGCTTCTCTGCATCCTTCAGTTTTATCATAAGCCTTCCCAAGTTGTTGAAAGGGCACGATAGAAAATATTTTTAAATTTTAATAAATATTCCGTGACTGGGTGGAATTTGACAAGATCACCTCCTGGAATGCAACACGGAAAGGCAAGAAAAGACACGAGGCTTCTGGAAGTCCGGGACCCCTTTCCAGCTTACGAGCAGCCAAGCAACCAAAACTGTGCCAATACAAACCATGGCAAGAGCTCAAATACGGGGCTGTTGCGGGTTCGAAACACTGCGATGATGATCCTCTGGTCGGAAAAGCCTGTCAAACAAAAGGAAAAAGAATAAGGGTAAGGGAACCAAGTGGGGTTCATGCAGATGGACTATGGACAAAAGTCTGACAGAGTCTAAAGGGGTGGTTTGCATGTTCGGAGACGGAGGAGAGAAAGAAGCAATCGTTCAGTAGGAATCTAGAAGAATGGCTAACACCTGGAAGAAAGGCAGGCCTGTAAGTATCTTAAATAAACAAGTGGCCTTTTCCTTCCTTCCAACTTTGAATGAATGGAGAGTCACCACAAGGTGTGTCAAAAGCTAAATCAAAGCCACTACTATGGAAAGTAGACTATGGGCCAAACTAGATGTTATGTCTGCTACAAGTTGGGGCTCCCTGACCCATTTTACAGACAGATATGTCAGGGAATTTACATTCCTAAATGCTCTGGGGCCCAGTTCAGCTTATGAGCATGGTGTGGGGGGAGGAGAACGTTTAGTCTCCCCTTGCTGTGCACTTCTAGGGGGAGGGGTTTCCAAGGGGAGGTACAAAACTGTGTACAGTTCTGGTCACCACACCTCAAAAAAGATATTATAGCATTGGAAAAAGTGCAGAAAAGGGCAACTAGAATGATAAAAGGGTTGGAACACTTTCCCTATGAAGAAAGGTTAAAGCGCTTTGGGGCTCTTCAGCTTGGAGAAATGACGGCTGAGGGGTGACATGATCGAAGTTTATAAGATTATGCATGGGATAGAGCAGGTCGAGAAAGAAGTACTTTTCTCCCTTTCTCAGAATACAAGAACTCGTGGGCACTCCATGAAATTGCTGAGCGGTCGGGTTAGAACAGATAAAAGGAAGTACTTCTTCACCCAAAGAGTGATTAACACATTGCATTCACTGCCACAGGAGGTGGTGGCAGCTACAAGCATGGACAGCTTCAAAAGGGAATTAGATAAGCATATGGAGCAGAGGTCCATCAGTGGCAATTAGCCACAAGGTATAGATAGGGGCTCTGGGGCAAGTGATGCTCTGTATTCTTGGTGCTGGGGGGGGGGGCAACAGTGGGAGAGCTTCTAGTGTCCTGGCCCCACTGCTGGACCTCCTGATGGCACCTGGTATTTTTGGCCACTGTGTGACCAAGTGTTGGACTGGATGGGCCATTGGCCTAATCCAACATTGGCTTCTCTTATGTTCTTATGTGCTATCAGGGCAAATAGGCTTCCTCTGTGACCATTTCAGCTTGGGAAACTATTGCAGAGTGTGTGTATGTGTGAAGCTACTCCTCCTTCTCCCGCAACATGCTCATGAGCCAAATCAAGCCCAGACCATTTGGGAACACTAGTCAACCCCGACTCATGTCAGACATAAAGTCGTCTGGCCTTCAGAGGTGATTCTGGGAGCAAAGAGTGAGTGCAGCCCAACCTGAATGCTGGTGTTCTCTTCCTTTCTGCATCCTACAGGGCTCTTTTCCTGCCACACGGCCTCAGCCCATTTGCGGCGAACGAGTGCTCGCATAATGCATTAGGGCTTCGAGAAGGACTGTCAGATTAGGAATCCAATTAAAACGAAAAACTTTGAACAACAAAGACGTGGCCTGGACCTTTGTCTCTGAAGCCCTGGCTTGAAAGAGGATCACAGAATGCTTTAAAATGCAGATTAGGGAAGAATTATTTTAAGCAGGGCCCCCCCCCCCTCAAGCAGAAGCAGTTTTTGTGCTCTCGTGCTCATGCCTGGCATTGCTGTGACATCCCTTCAGCAGGGTCGGGTAAAACAAAAGGGCCGATTCTCATTTGGCTTCCTGGACTTGGCTACACACAGACAAAAGCACAACATTTATCTTGTCCAGTATGGTGTATGTCTTCCCCATGCCTGTCCTCTTGAAACATGCAAGAGTAAAGGGGCTGAGCCTTTCCCGACCTCAGCTTGTATATACCTTAAAGAGGGCCAACCACCGAAGAAAACCAAGTGCATACAGTCTTCACTTGGCAAGACGTGTGTTTATTGCATGTGAGTGTGCACACCATGGAAAATAGTGAGGATCTGTCCAAACACTTGGGAGGTGAGGAAGCAGAAGAAAAATTCACGCCGTGATGCTTTGCTTGACCCACAGCTCCAATGACATAGCTGCGCTTAAATGATCGGGTCAGCATCAAAGTCTATTAGAAGGCATCATTAAAGAAAAGTGAATTCTGTCCAATTTATCCTGCTGGCCACGAAGCACAACACCCTCCTTGACCAATGCAAGCCCCAGCATCCTCTAGCTTCATCATTAGAAGCCACTGACATACGTTCAAGCCTGTTTCCTGGCAGCCACGAGGACTAGAATGTTGCAGAAGACAGTAAGCTACGGCTCAGATTCTTAGGATAAGGCATTTTGAGCTGGACTCTTACCTTTTGTTCACTGCATGTGGGCGTTGCATGCACATGCCCTGTCCATCTGCCCTATTCTTACCGACATTTCTAAGATTTTTACCTCTGATCACAGCTGCAAGCCTCTCACCACTGGGATCCCAGACCATGGAATGCACCTCCCCTCCAATCCTGGAAACACAAGGATATGGTGTGAGAGCCACGGCAGGCCAGGCGAGGGATATTCATGGTGAGCCTGAAAGACCAGCATTCAAGCTTCGGCCACTACAGGAACGGAAGACGTGGCAAGAATGTCACGCGCACACAGAGAATCACTCCTCATTGCAAGGTGATTATAACCGGGGCCAACCACAGCAGCAGCCCAACCAGGTAAAATAGGGCCTCCATCTACTCAAGGGGTTCCCCCCAAGGAAGCAGGAAAAACACAGCTTTGTAAAATAACCAAAGGGAAAAGAGCTCCACCTCCAAACAGCTTCAGGGGGACTGAGCACACTCAGGAGGTCCAGAACAATAAGGGTGGCTGAGAGTTAAAAGGATTGGGGGGGGGGGGATACCTACACATTTTTAAAGATATAGCCACAAACTTAAAACAAACACATTCCCAAACTTGGTGTGTATTCTCCAAGAGGTGCAGAGAGTCTGACATCTTGTGAACTTCAGGTTTTACTCTCCCCCCTAACCCCATTTTTAAAAGAAGAAGAAGAAAAAGAAGAGATTGGATTTATACCTCGCCCTTCACAGAGCGGCTTACAAACTCCTTTCCCTTCCCCTCCCCACAACAGACACCCTGTGAGGTGGGTGGGGCTGAGAGAACTCTGACACAAACTGCTCTTTTTCAAGGACACCTGTGCCAGAGCTTGTGACTGACCCAAGGTCACATCAGCAGGTGCAAGTGGAGGAGTGGGGAATCAAACCCGGTTCTCCCAGATTAGAGTCCGCACACTTAACCACTACACCAAACTGGCTCTCTTTAGCAAGTCTTTAGCCCTCAAGACTGCACAGATAAGCTGGAAAGTGAATAGGGTCATGCCTGGAGGAAACTCCAAGCTATTTTAGTTTTGGTTTTAACTTAAAATGCTTTCAACTGTTATTGTAAGCAACCCTGAACCACAAGGAGAGGTGGGATATAAATGTTTAATAACTGCAAAAACCAGAGGGGAGACCTTCTGACCACTGGGGGAAAAAATGTGCTTTAGGAAGACCTCCTCTCCACCCCCTGAGACTGTACCAAGCACTGATCCTATTTGCTAGCTTACCTTTGCACCATCAAGAGCTAGAATCCTGCCTTTCAAAACTGATGCCAAGATTGACAGGATGCCGCACCTGGCAGCTGCCACTAACAATAAACTTGTGCTCAGGGGTAATTTCCTGCAGGAGCACACAGGAGTGGAGCTCCGGCAGTAAAGAGCCCAGAGGGCGGGCACATGCAACAAGCCCCCTGCTCCCAGCAGCCCTCAGTCAGAGAAAGAAGCAGCCAAGTAAGCTGCAGAACACCCCCCCCCAGCCCCCTGGTCCAAAACAGTCCAGTGGCACCTTTAAGACCAAGTTTTATTCAGGTACAAGCTCTCCCTCCTCTGCGAGGACAGATCTGCACGTCCCCCCCCAATAGCTAGCAATCCAAAACAGTCCAGTGGAGCCTGAGCGGTGGGTGTTGCCTTCTGACACACTTCCAGTGATGTCAGGGGGTGTGGCATATGCAAATAAGTTATGCTAATGAGCTCCTGCACCTCTTTTTCTACGAAATGACCCCTGCTTGTGCTACAGTTGCATGGAATCCTGTTACACACACAAACACACACGGTCTTGCCCGTGGTCTGTTTTGTCTCACCTCTCCTCCCCGTAAAGAGTATCGAATTTGGTTTCTGACAGATCTGCCACGATGGAAGCCGTTTTCGATCCACCGACCCGCCCTTGCTGCTCACCTGAAAGGCAGGACGACAGAAGACTGGCTTTGAAGTTAACAAAAAGGAAACAGAGAAGAAAGTGCCGACTGGGGAGAATGAATGGTATGAGCAGGATGACTAGCAATTCTTTGTGGGCACCCAAAACCAAGGAAGTCTTGGGTTTGAAATTGAAGAGGGGGGGGCATATTTGTGGTAAGCGCTAAGTAGGGTAGAGTCTTACAGCTGCAAGAAGTGCTCTGAGGAAATAATAACTGTACAAAACCCAAAGCTAGCTGGGTGGCCTCAGGAGAGGCCCCCCTCCCTCCCTCCCTCCCTCGGCTTATCACAGCTCACGGGGCTGTCGTGAGGATACCATGAACGCCAGGCGGGCTCGCCTGAGCACCTCAGAGGAAGGGTGAGAAGCAAAACGTCATGCAAACGGAGAACTGTAAGGCTGCAAAGGATCAAGAAGTCACCATGCCCGCCTTGAGAAGCAAAAGCCCCAAGTGCTCAAGGTCAAAACCAAAGGATTCTGTTGCGCTGTATCCTTTGTCTTTGTGAGAACAGTTCCTGGAACATCAGATTTTGGAAGCTAAGCAGGGCTGACCCTGACAAGTATTTGGATGGGAGACCTCCAAAGAATACCAGGGTCGGGAGGCAGAAGAAGGCTATCAAGCCACTTCTCTGAACGTTCTCCACGCCCCAGCAGGAGTCGCCAGAGGTCCCCATGACTTCCAGGCATGGGTGCACATGCGCGCGCGTGCACACACACACAAATGCAAAAATCTCTCTCCCCCCCCTCCAAAGACAAGTTTTACTGGAACAGTGGGTCCCGCCCAGCGTCACCACCATCTGGACTTCAACCAGACCTCAGACAACATGCCACAAGCAGAGAGCCACAGAAAATTCAAGCAAGCAGCATGACATGCTATAGCAAGAATGTCACAAGGTGTGTATACTTCTGAGCATGCACATGCATTCTATGAAGATGGGCACTACGTTTTTTGTTCTGCTGCTTGTTGCGTTTACTTCTGTGTTTGTTTACATGGCTTCAACGGAGTTGGTTTTAATTGACTATAAGCCTGTATGCTGCCTTGAGCATCTTTGGATGGAAAGGGGGTTGACAAAGCATATAAACAAACAGTACAAATTACACAGAGACACACTCAGGCAGATACAAAGCTGCAAAGGTTCTTTTCCAGTCCCTGCAGCCAGGGGTGAGAGGGGGGATTAAGGGTTAAGAATCTGGATGTGGGCTTTGTATTTAGTCTACTGGAAGCTTTTTGCCTTATCCCATTTCCCCGGCTCCCTACCGGACTGGGCCTGCATAATTGCACTTAAAGATCTGATTACCATGCCAAAGAAAGCTAAATTCTACAATCCAAGTAAATTTCCACTAATCTGCTTGCTTTACATTTTTCTGCTTTGGGGAGCAGAATAAGCAATGCAAAATCTGCAGATCTGTACAAGTCAAACAACAGAGTCAGGAGCCACTCAGGGTGGCAGATGAGAAGAAGAAGAAGAAGAGATTGGATTTATACCCCGCCCTTCACTCGGAGTCTCAGAGCAGCTTACAAACGCCTTTCCCTTCCCTTCCCCACAACAGACCCTGTGAGGTAGGTGGGGCTGAGAGAGCTCTGAGAGAACTATGGCTTGCCCAAGGTCATCCAGCAGCTGCAAGTGGAGGCGTGGAGAATCAAACCCGGTTCTCCCAGATTAGAGCCCGCACACTTAACCACTACACCAAACTGGCTCTCTGTAGGTGGTGAACCTCACCTACAAATCTTACTCCTCCCTCCCCACCTCTGTTTCCTAAAACATTTTCCACGTGTTGCCCATCCACATGCAAGCACACCACCACAGCCTCAAGGACTAGACACTTGCTTTACTAAAAACAAAACAGCGTCCATTCACTCTCTGTTCAAAACTATTTCTTTTGCTGGCAAGCTCGCAGACTCCACGCAGCCCTGCAAATGTCGCCTTGCCTCACCCACACTCACCGCTGTATTCCAAGAAAGACAAGGAATAAATCACCGACTCCCCCTGGACTGTGAAGAGTAAGCGGCTGCCATCCGGACTCCAGCACCCTGTCTGGGAAAGGAGACCACAGGTGCTCTTTTCTGACAAGCAAACCCAAAGAAACAGAACTGGGGACTAAATATACACCATGACTTTTGCAGCAAGTTTTAAAATGTGCCGCAAATGAAACCCTGCCAGGCATAAGATTCAGGCATTGGGGAGGAGGGGGAGTGACTGATCAGTTCTGAGGCTGGGGGGGGGGGGGGGGGGGGGAGG